CTGATGTAGGAGTCTCCATTTTCCAGGTGAGAAAGGGAATAGTGGAGGGCAGCCACAATGGCATCTGAGGTGGCCCTGTTGGGCCGGTAGGCATACTTCAGGGGGTCCAGGGTGTCCGGTATAGTGCTCTGGATTTGGGCTGGAATTCCCAGGTTTATCCAGGTGTCTTACAGGATAATCTCGGGGTGGCTGTCAGCAAGCTGAAGCTCAGGAGAAACCGGGTGATGCTGCAGGACAATGGTCCTACACACTGAAGTAAATCTACTCCAGAATGGCTGCAGAGACACAGAATCCACCTTTTGGAGCGGCCCAGTCAGAGCCCAGACCTCCCCCCAATAGAGACGCTGTGGAATGACCTCAAGATGTACACACCAGACGGCCCAAGAATATGGCTGAGCTGAAGCGGTTCTGTCAGGAAGACTGCTCCAAAATTCCTCCTGAACGTTGTGCAGGTCTGATCCACAGCTTCAGGAAGTGCTTGCTTGAAGTTATTGTTTCCAAAGGTGGTTCAACCAGTTATTAAAACACTGTTGACACTAGTTTTTCCACCATCACATTGTATATTTAATGTGTGTGTTGAGCATACATGAATGGTCATGACTGTTTTATCAGCTTAGAAATATTGTTTGTTGATGTTTGTGACTTTGGTGAAGATCAGATCACATTTTGACCAATTTAAGCAGAAAACCAGGAAACTGCAAACAGTGCCATTACTTGCAACTATATGTATGTTGTATAAGAAATGTATCCAATCCATTTAAATATCCAAGGTGGAAGTATTTCTCATGTCAAAAAAATGAGAGACATGCGAATGATCAGTGTGGTAACAGGTATGTGTCAGAGCAAACAGAAGTTCATTGCTGTGCAAATAAAAGAGAATAAGGAGGGAGGGGGCAAATACAAGAGCGTCATCCATCCGGCAGAACTGAAATAACAAAAAAAGTAGCTGGCATACAAGACTTGACACATTACGGTAATTGAGATGAGCATGTAAGTCTATGTACAAAAAGGCTTATATACATATATACACAAGGCTTATATGAAAAAGAGTGTCCACACCTTTAACTTGTAAAACTTTTAAAAAATGCCCCACAGAAGGGTAAAACATGGAGGTGGATGCTTTATAAATGTCATCTGGGATGGAACGCCACAGATCTGCCTGTAATGTCATGAGTAGCACTGTATACCTGCTGTTGCTCCAGCCTCCTCTCTTTTCACCTCCTTCCTTTCCTAGCTCCTTCATTAACAGCAGAAGGAAAAAAGCTGCATATAAATGAATGTGCCCCGCCCCCTGGTCATCAGAGCTGAGCCCAGTGATGGCTAATTGGCTCCCAAGAAAGCTGGGTGAGTGTCAGCGGGGACACAGCTCCAGCATCACAATTTGCGCATGCACACACTTACGTGTAGAGCTGAGATCTCATCTCCCTGTCTCCCTCTCTGTACAAACTCAGAGGACAACAAAAGATAAAACACCATCTGAGTTCTGCTGGTTTACTGGCTGTTTCTATAGCTACATTATGCATATGAGTGAAACTTTGCTGCCAAGGTTGTTTCACTGTTCTTAAAGCAGCAGTGAGAGACTCAATTACATTTTCATTAAACTCAACTCAGTTCAACTCTACTGACTTAATACTAGGATGGTTTGCAGACAACAATGCATGAGCTGAGGTGAAACCCTGGGCTGTATAAAACTATACTCTGACAGCAGACCTGCTTCGGCTTCAGACTCAGTTGACC